GGGAGGGGGAAAGATTATTTGGTACTGATCGATATCCAATCGAAGGATCCGCTGGTCAAGCAAGTACAAATTCAGGCCTCGTACAAATTTAAGGCGGCTTCCAACCCTACGTCCTACGCCCCGCGCCAACGCGTCTCCTGCCCTCTGAAATATTCAGAAATTGACCACGAACATTGAGTTTAGAGAACGATAGCTTTGCCGGGGACAGAGGCGCTTGCGATGGATTTCTTCACCAGAGAAGAGGGCCAAGATCGATCGCATTGCTATTGATGATTGAGATCTGCATCCGCGAGGACGCTCGAGAGCTTCTTATGCAGAACGGAATCAAAAGTCAAAAGGTTTTGTTTTCGAAGAGTGTTATCAATCTTACGCAGCCGAATTCCAAATTCTATACCAGAATCCGATGATGGATTCCAGGCCACGTTCCCTTTTTTTTTTTTTTTTGGAATGGTAGATCGTTATGTATTTCGGCACTTATTTGTTTTTGAATGAGATTATGTGAGGAGAGACCTTTCTATCTCCACTCTTTAGTGTTTTCCTGTTTTGTTTATTTAAGCATGCTAATTTATTATGCAGAGTATGGGTTTCTTCATCTGATTTTTACGGGAATGGCGTTTCTTTAAGTGCGTGACTTAAGATCTATACGCACAGCTACGTGCCAGCCATCATCTTCGGATACCCATCAGTGGTTACTAAAAGCAACCAAGTAGGATAACTCTGGCGTTAAATATCATATTCGTTTTATCGTTTTGACTTTTCATATGCTTTATTTTTCAACTTTTCAGTACTCGTATGTTACTTTTTCAATTAGACGATGCGTTGCCGGCATCATTGACAAATATAGTTTATCAAGATGTCAACATCTAATATCAAGTCTCGAGGAAGAAGGACAGCATGGATATTTACGAATAACGGAAGATAGCTAGATTCACAGAACTCGCGAATCTGTTCGACTGGATCGAAGGGATGTGATGTCTTTTTTATTAAAGACGACATCATTATAAGTAAGGCAATGCTGGGAGGTAGGCTGCTTACGAGAGCGTTGTCTAGAGAAAATTTTAACGACTTCGTTAGTGTGTTGATGCGTCGAGCTCGCTAAAGATGTCAATTATACCCACCCAACCTACCGGCGCGGCTGGTCGCAAAAGCAAGTCCCTGAGTCGATCCTTCATATTGTTTCTTATCTGAGATGAGAGATCACATTCTTGATGCAGATCCTTACAGCGAGTTGCTGCAAAGCCACCTGCTGAATATACAGAATCGAACCCCTTGCGTCCTTGTAGAGCTCCGTACATAATATTGAAATCTGTTCTTGATGACAGGTCTTGTAATCATTTCTCTCCGCAGTGATCTGCTGCAAAAAAGATCCTGCATTGCGAAATGATGCTTTCACGATCCAGAGTCATGGTGGCGATTCATTCAACTCGCCGGATTACCCTCCTGGCAATCGTCGCCTTGGGATTAGTCTGGTCGACTCTTCTCTTTCGATACAAGCCATCGCTGTCCTCCCTGCCCGCCCTGCCTCAGAAAGTCCAAGATCATATCGACTACTTCCGCGCCCCCAAGTCTCCCGAGTATTCCATCAAGCCGCTCGTCTACATCTTCCCCCAGTACTACCACTTCGACGAGAACAATGAGATCTGGGGCGTCAACTTCACGGAGTGGGACAATGTGAGGGAAGTCACCTACAACGCGTATGGTATCGAGACGATCAGGCCGCACGAATCTGTTGGGTACTACGATGGTCTAGCATTCGAGACGCGCGAGCGCCAAGGTAGGTTCTTGCGAGACCATGGGTTTTACGGAGCGATTTTTCATCACTACTGGTTCGCGGGAGTGCCCGTGATGGATGGCATCCTACAGGCAATGCTGAAGGACGGAGAGCCAAACGTACCGTTCATGTTGAGCTGGGCCAATGAACCTTGGACAAAGACATGGGACGGAGTGGACTCGAGCGAGACATTCATCGCGCAAGAGTATGGTGATATTCGAGACTGGAGAGAACATTTCGATTGGCTTCTTCCGTTCTTCAGGCATCCTAAATACATCCGCTCGCAGGGACGCATTCAGATGGCAGTCTACAAGCCCAGCCACATGGGCCCGCGCCGTAGTTTGATGTTTGCTGCATGGCGCCAATGGGCTATAGAAGAAGGCCTTGGGGGTCTCGATGTCGTGGAGACCCGATGGGCTGGAACGGGCGATTGCGATGCTTCTCTTCCAGACGCGATCAACGAGTTCCAACCTCACATTGGTGGTTTCGATCACTTCAGACACTCCATGGCGAGACGTAATGCTCGGGTCTATCACCGAGGCACGCTGGTGTGTTGGGATTCTACGCCACGGCACTCTACGGATGGAGGAGGAAATCCACAGTCGTTTTGCCACCCGAAATCCTGGCAATACTACATGGTGGAGATGTACCGGAAGATCAAAGAGGATCCCAATCCAATTGGTGCGGAGAACTTTGTGTTCATCAATGCCCTTAGTGAGTACTCTTCTCTCCTGCAATTTAAGTAGCTAGGCGCCCTACGGGGATTATACTGACTTGACCAAGATGAATGGGGCGAGGGAAATGCTTTGGAGCCCAGTGTCCAGTTCAATGATGGCTATGGAGTAGCCATGAAAGAGGCGATCCGGATTTCCGAGGAACTCCACAACTGGACCAACACTCGCTTTGAGGGTGGACTGGAGCGCTCGCCAAAACCGAAACAAAATAGAACGCTATCAATTGGAACACTAAAGAAGCCCAAGGAAGCAAAGGTGAAGGAAGAAGAAGAAGATGATGGACCTATCGAAGAAGTCGATATCTGTGTCCTGATCAAGACTTCTGAGGACAACAGAGATGACCGAACGTACAAGCTCAGCGCTATGCTTGATTCGCTTCAAGCACAGAAGAATCCCAGTTGGAGAGCCGTAATCTACGAGCCCTTGCCGGCCATGTTTCACGACCTTGAAGACATGGTCTATCGAGCTTTCGACCCTCGCATTGAGATGCTGAGGATCCCTGAAGAGGAACTTGTCACTCGTGACGCTGACGAAGAAAGCAAGAATGAAGAAGAAAGCAAGAAAGACGAAGAAAGCAAGAATGACGAAGAAAGCAAGACTGACGAAGAAAGCAAGAAAGACGAGGAAATCAAGAAACAGATCGAGGAAAACAAAAAGAACGAAGAGAAGGCTAAGCAGGATAGGGAAGATCAGATTGCTCTCCAGCTGCGTCGGGAACTTGATGCCGGGTCGAAAGTGACGGACTGGGTGATCAACAAGCTGGCGAAGGACAGCAAGTCGGTTTGCGGAGCGGCGAAATACCTTCTCATCACCACGGGCTATAACATCTACCACCCGGACGCCTTTGACGCGGTGATCAAGTCAGATGCTAATCTCATTGGACTCAACGTGGAGTCGAGACGTACATTGTGGAACTCGTACGAGACTGGGCCTACCACCTGGCAAGACCGATGTTCACGTCCAGCCGAGGTGAGCACACTCCGAACCCCCTTGAGAACACTTTACTACCTCGCAAGTAACCACTAACCGAGACATGTGCAGAAAACGGCGTCGCTCTGCAAGCCTGCAACCATGACACCGGCCTACTTTGACCTCGCCGCCACCTTCATCGACTTCCCCCGGTTCGTCAAAGACGGCTACCAATTCTCCTCCTACACGGAGACGAACCCGCGGCACCAGGACTGGGCCCTGATCTCCCACCTCGCGCGGGACAAGGGCTGGTCGTTCGCCTCCTCGTCCGGCTCCTCGACCTGTCACCTGAAGAGCAACCCGGCGTACAGCACCTGCACCCAGACCGGCAACATCTACGTCGACTCTCCGATGTTCGAGGAAACGGGCTGCTTCACCCCGACGGCCATCATGATGGGCCTGGGCAGCACCCACGAGAAGATGGGCATCCTCGACATGGAGTACTACCGGGCGCACGCTTTCTGCCTGCGGTATAGGTCCAAGACGTTTCGGACCATGTGGACCATGGATGTAAAGGAGCGGCTGGGCGTTGCGCAGAGGAGTTCCTTACCCGGAGATCTGCAGCCGGATGAAACCACGGAGAAAACCCTGTCGGGGGTCGACGACGATGAATGAATAGGTGTTACCTAGTTATAGAGATCCTTTTGAAAGAAATTCTTGAGCGGTTGTTGGTGTTGTAGAATTCATGGGTACTGTATTAGAGGGTCTTGGTCTGGGGGAAAGAAGGCTTGCAACCTTGCGCCTTCAACACTTCCCTTCCGCGAGAGATTTATATTTAGTGGTTATGTTTGATGGATCGGAGCTCTGTGTCTCATTGATAATGCGATTGTTTGCGGACGAGCTAGCTGGCTACATACTTTGCTCTTGTAATCTTAACAGTTCGCGTTGATCATCCATTATAGAACTATACCTTGTGTCCCATCATTTCGTCTCAACACCTCCGCACACCCTTCTAAATCCCTATGAATATATTTGAGGACTTTTCCTCGGGAAGGTAATGTTCAAGTGTTCTCCAGTGACGCACATCACCTTGACTATTTGACACCTAATCCGTTCAGCCGTCGCGCAAACTTTACCGAGGTCTTATCAAACGCCCTCCAATACACGTCCCCAGCCCAGAGTGCGAAAATGGTAGAGACAAGCCCGCCGACAAAGTATCCCGCATTGTACGTCGGAGAGCCATACGGCAACCAGGCCCTAAAAAACGAAATGAGAAACGAGCCGAGGGTAAACAACACCGTCCAGTGAATGATATAAAAGCCAAAGGAGATGTCTCCCATGTAGCTCGCCAGGCCAGTCGTGAAGGGGCGCTGTAAGATCTCGCAGTTCCCCATCGACAGCAGGAGCAGGAACGCCCCGATGGCAGTCCAGAAGTTTCGGAGCGCGTCGACGCCGGCGCCATCAGGATGTCCGCCGGTCGGGCCGTACGCCGCGGAGGTGATGCCGCAGAGGTGGCTGAATCCGTAAGATTGCAGTTACCCGTTATTCTCTTTGCTTTGTTAGCAGGGCATCAGTATCGCACCCATTTTGCTATTTATGGAGAAATATACCTAAATCTCGTTAAGAATACAATACAAAAAATGATATGAATGGAAAGCGTCGCTATTTTGCTACTTAGATAGAAACTCTTCACGTGATCAGTGACATGCTACCCTGTTGTGTTTCTTCCGCAAATTCGAAATTCTTGGGTACGGAAAAACAAAGGACCAGACAAAGGTCGATTCAGACTTTGATTCAAGATGTCCAAATGTATTATCTTTGGCTCTAATGGTTGTACCGGCTGAGACCGATGAAATTCAAAAGATGCTACACGTGACGGACCGACCTCGCTTAATTATCAAGGATTCAGGGGCTCGCGTCCTATATCGAGGAGTGAGCATGACATTGGTCTTAGCTTATTCTGTATGACATATAAGATATGCATGGTGGATAGATGGATATAATAAGATCATTACCGTCGAAATGCTACACCGTCAGCCGTCACCCGTCGAGCTAAGCTCCAGCCGGACCAGCCATGTATAAATGACAACGGACTCAGGTCGCATTGGAGAAAGAGCTATGAATGTATGTTGGAATACCACATGTCCAAATAAAACATCCAATCCTTCTCCCGGAGAGCAAAAATGTTAGAATAGCATCGACTCTAATCAACTTGCGCTTTGCTTTCGATTACATCTGGGTATTTCTATCAATACAGTCTCTAGCGGATCTTAGAAGCTTAGAAGCCTCTGCATGATAAGCCCGCCTTGGTTCTGAGTCGAGTCCAAGGAAGAAATTGAGCTTCACAGCTTGCAACTAATACATCTAGCTCTTTTAGTATCCAGTTACTTGATAGCATCGACTCAGCAATGAACACCAAGACATTAGTATCGTCTGCCAATATAACACCAAAAAATTATTGCACATCGATGCCCCATTCATTTTGTAAGACTTACCTCCTACATATTCTGATAAAATGTTTCGTGCCTCTATGACGCAAACTGCTCACCATACCCAGCCTACCATATTCCCACAGGCACCAGGAACCACATGTCACCTTGAGTCGGCCGAAGCAGATCATTAGGAGCAAGTGGTATTTAAGCAAATAATATTCCGCCATCTGGAAAAGAGACTGCATCAACAACAATAACAACAACAGCAACAACGGCAACAACAGCAACAACAACCACATTTCTTCTCTACACCTCCAAAATATTTTTATCACCAGCATCAATCCAGACAAAATACAGATCTCCATCATCTTCTTCGCCGCCCTCGCCACCGTCGGCATGGCGAGAGCAAGTCCCAATGCCAGCAGCGCCCCTGCTTGTAAAGCGGTTCCGATTGACTGCTCCACATGTGGATGCTCGTCAGCGGAGTCTTGTACTGTTAGGTGCCTCCTCCTATCACGATGACTTCCGGCCAGAAGACCAGCGCTGATATACTCGGCCCAGTTCGATTGCTGCCACGTAAGTCCAGACATCGCGTTGATACTTCACTCTACCCCTGGTATGTCGTTATTAACCATGTGATGCAGGGAGTGAATGAATAGGTGAATGCTCTATCCAGTTGGTCTGGGAGACAAGAGGATGGGTTGGATGGGAAATCAGAATCAGCTTTTCTTGTCGTCGTACGCAGTTCTCTCTTGGAGTTTCAGCTCGGCCGGCGAGAAGTAAGTACCGTCATTAGAGATTCGACGACACGACGAGAGATAAATGATAACACAGAAATGGAGAAGTGGAGTGTACAAAAACTTTTCATCTAGTTGCATTTATACAACTTGGAACAATACGTGGCCGAATAAAAGCCACAAGACAGAAATGTAATCGTAGGTTCGTAGTAAATAAACCCCTTTCGCCTATTTCCTCGAAGAGTATATGGTTGCAGATCGTCCCCAAGCAAAGAATATGACCCTTATATAGCATAAGAGTCGATACAAGATCATCTGGCTGCTGCGAAAGACTGTTGAATAATCTTCAAAGGGTGGTAAATCTCCGTTGATGTACGGCTGGTCATATATGCACCACTCAATACCATTTGCTCTGCTCCGAGCTCTCCATTCAAGAATAAGCAAAAGGCGAAAAAAGGGGCAGATCGATCCAACATTAGATGTCACTATTAGCAACGCATCAGGAGTGCAGAAGGATACAATGCCGCTGCCACGACGACCGGAATGAACGAAAAATCGTTCTTCAAGCCTCACCACACACGTGGCCTCTGATGCTCGCCACGATCTATTTTTAATCACATGAGAAACGCGTGTTTGGAAATACGTCACGTCAAAGCTTAAGAAAAGAAAGGGTGGGTGGTTGGAACTCGGTTGCACGAATGAGGGGGGGTTGATCTCTCAGGGGGAAAAAAAAGCATATTCTTAAGCTTAACGGTATCGGCGGGTCCGAAGAAGAAGCTTAATTAACCGCAGCTGCCGCGATCGAAAGTACTTTATCTCGCAAGGGTGCTGGCTTACCAGGGCCGGAACCAATCAGCTTGGAAGGGATCCAGCCTGGGAAAGTATCTTTGGGTCGGCGTTTAGTCTGGGCAGTTGAGTGGACAGGGCTTTGAGTCATTCAGAAATCACCGCTCTGCGATTTTTGGGCCTAGACTGGGTCCGACACGTATTTATCTATTGGGGGAGGGGGGGAGGGGGATAGTAAATGATTATTGGTATTTGACCTGCGCTTCGGTCCGGTTCCGTACTCTGGGAAGTTTTGAGAATGTCCGCGTGACAGTGGTACACGAATGGGGGCCTCATTTTCTTTGGAGAGTTTGAGGAAAAGTCGGTATCTCGTTATTAGCGATGGGACGTGATGATCATGATCGAGATGATAGGTACAAGAAAGGAGCTATGTCTGCACATTTAGGCGGCTTTGGGGTTGCGATCGACATTTTCCGTTGAATGCTATATTGAACCTGTTCAAACAACCGGCCATAGCTTATTGTATATGTTATCGCGATCCCCGGAGCGAGGTATTGGATTATTTTCGCAACATGGTCACTGAAAGGAAGACATTCACATGAGTTATTCTTTTCGCAAAGTTTGGTCGCTTGAGATTCAAATTGTTGACAAAATGCCGTAAATCGTAATTTCATACTCAATCCTAAGTGATGAACTGAGAACGTAGGTCCTCGTGAAATCCCTTTTGCCTAATGCGCCCCGCTTGAAAAGAAACAACCCTACAACCTTGACGCTGCCTCCAGGGCTCAACGAAAAATTCTCATCGAACGTCACCGGACGCACTTTAGTCCTGGTTCAGCCTATGCCTGCCGATCTTCTGGACCTCTCTGGCACTAGGAGCACTGACAGCTTGAAGATCCTCCCACTGAGCCGGGCTGATGGTGACAGTCTGACCAGAGACCCACCATCTCTTGCCCTCGCTACAAGGAGGGGTGGTCAAGCTACCAGCGTAAGACCAGTATGTTTGAAAGTCGCCCGCGTCTTTCAGGATCAGGCCCATATTGATGTCGCTTACCGCGACGGGGGTCTCGGTCTCCTTGGAGGGCATGGTCGTGGAGCCCATGAACTGTGCGAGGAAACTGCTTTCGTCGCCGACGGTCAAGGGGAAGCCGACCACGCCGATAGCGTTACCATCCTTGTCGCCATGGACAAGATGGAGTTCGGCTTCGACTGCTTGGCCGCCAAAGGTATGTTCGGAAGGAGTGTGTGTGTGCTGTGGATAGAGTCAGCTTGATGAGAACGTCGATTGCGATAAGCATGTTATCAGATGGGAGATGCTTACCCAGCCAAGGAGGTAGTAGGAAACACCGTCAGCGGTGAAGGATGGGTGTTCATCTATGTCGTCTTGCTCCATCGCGGTCAAAGTGAAGGCAGGACCGTAACCACTGTTGGTCAGGGACCCGCAAACCGTGTCCATAGCGTAGTTGAACGTTGGGACCATGACTTGGGAGAAGTTGCCGGGATCGAGATCGATTGGAGATTGCATGGTGCCATTACCACAGATGGCCGAGACTGAGTATTGTTAGTCTCTATTGTTATGATACCAGAGAACAAAGGAAGATACTTACTCGCTGGCCATGCACCTGTGTTGTCCCAAGTCCAATCGTCAGCATTTGTACCGTCACCTGCCAGCAGGCGCTTTCTGAGTGCTGCTTTAGAGGGGGAGTGGTCGGGGCAGGCGAGAACATTGCTGGCGAGAGCCGCGATGGCGAAGAGCGCGCGGATCATCTTCGGAGCTGTGGATTGGAGTGTAGTGGGAAGAGAGACAGGAAGATGCTAGAGCGGATGAGATGATGGTATAAGAAACTGGGAGATACTGGAAAGAATGTGTTGATGGTGATGTTGGATATCAAATGATGCGGAGATACTTATATATGCATTTGGAGTCCTTGCTCGTATAGATGAAAGTCTGGTCTGTGGTTGCCACGATACACAAGGTCTTGGTAGTATACCACAACTCATGGACCTCCCCCCCTCAAGCAATGTAATTGCCATCCAAGTCTTGGTAGTTGATTACGAATTCGTGAACCTCCCTCCCTGGAGCAACGAAGACGACGTCTGAACTTCTCTTGGCAAATGAACAATGACATGCGGTATGCACAATCTGCATTGAGGACCGCTCTTGAAACTGGTCCCAGATAAGGAGGCTCCATGTAAATTCCTACAGGGTTGAGGATCGGATGGGTCAGCGGGCGCCTTGGGGAGGCAGGTTTGAGAGAAGCACCCGGGTGTCATACTCTCGAGTGCATCTGGCCCGAGGTAAAGTCCCCTACCCGATCTTGGGCTTTCAAAATCAATATTCATCTCATATATTAGACTTTCTCCCAGCTCTTGGTTCGGCAAAATGATCCGAACTCCCATGCGAAACCCCCCTGACATCCACGATACCTACGTAGAGCAAGTGAATCGTGCTTACGTCTTTCCCGGCGACCGCAATCGTCACTCTTAAATTCACACGGACGAAGAATCCCCGAAAAAGCATATTTAGGCTCTTAGACTCCAGAGGCTGGCCACCATGAGCGACTACTTTGTATTTCCCCATAGACCAGTCGATCGGTCCACGTGCGTCCTCCCGGCTGTTTAAAAGTATAATCAGCGTACTACTCTGTGTAGGGAGGTATAGCGATTAAATTCTCCGACCTACTTTAAAAACTAGCCTCATCGAATAATACTTTTACTGTCTTTCGCTCCATATCGCTAAACGCAATCCGCCTTTAACTTTAATTTTCGTATATCTTATTTCGTACTTGTACTTCGTACGATGTGTTATTATTACTAAGCTATAATGGAAGCTGATTAGAAATTTATAAAGTACCAAAAAAATACTCTTTTATAAAGTATATATTATTTTATCACGTGTAGCGACACGAAGCAAAGGACCGTAAAGGTATTGCTCGATTAAGCTGGTTTTTAAAGTAGGCCGGATAACTTCATCGCTATACCTCCGTACGGAGCAATTAAGGTGATAGACTTGGCTGCAAGATTAAGTTTGCCTTGGAATATTACTAGTTCTAGAAAGGTAAGGGGCTCTTTTTACTTTATACAATAGTACAGAAGAACGGTATTGTATTTTTTTCGTGCCGATAAGGAGACCGTCAACGTCATCATAATGTGCGGAGATTTACTAGTATGGGTAGGGGTAGAATGCAGAAAATCTATATATGATAATATATTTTAGTTGTAACGTTTGTGACTTCAAGGTATCAAGACGGTACATACCACCAAGAGCACAGCTGTGTTTTATCTCTTTATATGCAATGACTTTGTGGTTTCAGCACGGGATTTAATATGGAGCCTGCCTCTGATCTGTCTATTTTTCGCTTTTCGTCGAAAAACTTTCCTCGGAAAAAAGGAAAAAAGGAAAAGAGCGCCGTCGAGGTTGAGAAGGGAGCCGGGGTATGGGAGGGGGGGGGGGGGGGGGGCGATATTCCGTACGGAGTAAGATCCGAACCAACCACTCTTGCGCGGCCATGCTCCACTCAACCCGAAACAAAAAGATTGCGCGGCTCTAATTTGATCATCGCGAAACGGATCGATTACCGGCGTTCCTTCCGTACATTGTAGGGTGTGTATGCCGATGGGAAGATAATTGGAAAGATGGTGTGCAAGGCTACAAGGTTCCGAAGAATTCGGCATGAATCCACTTGGCTCAAGAGTTCTGCTTTGCGAGCAATAGAATCTCTCTTCCCGCCTGCGCCTGTCTTCAAACTGTCTCTTAATTGTTAACACTATGGCTGTGAATCGCTTATATTGCTTACATTGTATTGATTATTTAAGCGACCTGCTCCGCTCCCAGTTGACAGCGAGCATAACCTGGCCGAGTTAGAGGATTTTCTGACTATACGAGAAACTACACTCGCTGTGGGGATTCTCAGAGTTTCGGATGAACATTACGTAAGTGAACCCTCCCCAGATTCGTGATCAAAAGAGTGTTTCCGATACAAGAATTTCCAAAAAGTGCGAAGCTGCAGCCAGGAAATCCCTACTATGCGCTGGAGTACGGAGTGAATCGATGGCAGAATATTTCACTATTAACAATTACCTTGGCCGACCTCCTTTGCTAGCCAAGGCGGTGACCTACTTTGCCCCCAGCACCTCCGTAAATTATTCCAAGATGGTAAGAGATCTTAACGCTTGGCTTGGCTGCCGTTTCAAGAACGTCTGTATTGTAAAACTTGTCTTAAGCTTATGAACCAGAAGTCGCGATTCGTTATTGACGTTATGACGAGTCGTGAGTCGCAACTCATGACTTGCTTTTGCTTTGCTTTTGAGACTCGGCGATATCAAAGCATAGTTAGTGTATGATTAAAAAGAGATCTATTTTCCATTTCAAGGCATGGAAGTACTATTATATCACCACCACCTTTGCTTATGGGTAGAAGGACTAGAATTAATCATGTCATTGGTTCTGCTATATTCGGTATTATAATCTGTGTAAAACACCTCACCTATGTATCAGAACAAATGCAACAGCTTTTGTCCGTTTTCTTAAAGCCGAAGCCGAGAAACCTCAAGAGTTTAACAGAATAAGCAGCCCGGATCGATCTACAAAGTAGAGCCGGGCTTGCCAAGGGCGTATCCAGAAAAAAAAAAACGAATACGGAAAACCTCCAAGCTGCTTGTATAATGAGTGCTTGCTCCCGGGACGCGTATGCGATCGCTAGCCGCGGGCTCTTCAAAGATAATACTCCTAACGATATCAACACAGCCAACACAGCCAACACAGCCCCGAGCCTCTTGGCCCGCTGCTTGTACTTACTTGTACGGAGATATCACCAGCTTCCATATCTGCTCTCACATATCGATATGCTTAGCCTCAAGATGTGCTGACTCGGAACTTGGGATAAATTTCTGCAGATAGATGGGCGGCACGAGGACGCCGGTAACTCCCGGAGAAAGTGGGGCACAGGGGCCCTGGCGACTTTGAGTTTTATACTGACCGATCACTGACTTTAAATGTAATCCCCGCCGGAGTTCCTACTGTATGAAGTCTATTTTCAGATCGGCTCCAAAAGATTGAAATGGTAGCGACACTTCTAGAAGAAGCAAGTCTACGTTATGCTTTTCAGAATTTATCGTAGAAACCGCCCTTGACCCCCCCTGATGGAGATCCAGACGCTGGAGGGTAACTTGGAATCATCTACCAAGGTACAGCGGTGAAGTTTTCTGGTCCATATCGGAAACTAGCTTAATCGTGCAATACTTTTACGGTCCCTCGCTCAATTATATGCGGCTCTGAAGGATGCGTATGAAAAGGTCGGCGAATTTCAATTTCAAGCGCGTGTTGAGAGTATGCCGGAGCGTTGTCGGGCTGTATACGAGGCTAATGGGAAATCTATAAAATATCAAAATATTAACCCTTTTCTATAGAGTATGTATTATCTCATCGCGTTGAACGATACGAAGCGGGGGACCGTAAAGGTATTGCTCGATTGAGCTAGTTGCTGGAGTGGGTCGGAAAACTTAACCGCTGTACCTTCGTATTCGTAATGCTCCGAAGACTTTAAGCTTAGATAAGATCTAAGCCTCAGCCCGCAAAGGAAAAGCCTAATGGTCCCCTTTCCCCTTGGCTTATCATTTCAAAGGGGAAAGAACGCCGATTTACTTCTCTTGTGTTTTCTTAACAGGCCTGCGGGTCATGCAATAAATATTACTGTAGGTAATACTAAGAACTGCAATGCATAACTGCAATGCATAACTGCAATGCATAACTGCAATGCATAACTGCAGGTCGATTGCAGTATAACTGCAGATCGACTGCAGCATAACTGCAGATCGTCTGCAGCAGTTATTGCATAAGTTCACGCTATCCAGAGCCTATCTAGCGCTCCCTACTATTGGCGTCTTTTTGATCTTGTGACCTTTGATTCGACTACATCTCTTAATTGCGAAGTGGCCTATCGTTTCGTCTACTTTTATTAAAGTAAGCGAAGTATAGTCAAAAGTCGATCTCAGCCAAAAGTCGATTAATGATACTTGAAATGGGTTTAATCAATTAATTCTTAACGCAGCCACATCAATTACTATTCAGGTAAAGATGACAGGCCGCTTTACAATTAAGGTTTTAAAAAAGGAGATTGATATGCATCAGGATTGAAAAGGCTAGCTTGCTAAGCGGAAGAAACAATAACGCTGAATCGTCGGTTATCTTGAATTTAATTTATAAAAAAATCCCGATCTGGCGCAGCCAGGTCGGAACCACCACAGCGGGACAGTAAGGGTATACCACTTATTAAACAACAACTATTAATCTAAATAAGAATAAAAATTCTTTACATGGTCGGAAAACTTTGCTTTATAAACGCGAATTAAGAGTATAAAGATGCATTTAATTGTAGTGACCTAATATATCAAAATGTAATGAAAATATAGCTAGAAACTATCCTAAATAATTCAATTTCACTTATCTGGTTCGTGGATTTTAACAACCACAACTTTAATCAAATAAAATTTGATTATTTGATTAACATCAAACTTAACACATTGCATCTTCTTATACAAAGATAATTACGATGTAATGGTTGGTTGATTTTCTGTTCGTTATAAAGGAGCAAATTTTACTGTCTCGCCTTGGTGGTGCCGACTTGCTATAATAGCAAGTCGGTTAATTCTTTCGAATTAAAATTAAAGGTAACCGACGATGACTTCCTGAGTGTTCAAATCGGCATGACTGATAAATCATGACTGATTCGCTATTTTCCTGAAATCATTCAGATATTTCAGATACATGGCAGTTCTGAGCTTAAAATACAAAAGTCAATAATATCAGCTCTTCTCGTGCAGTAATACAGCGCTTAGAGGTCATTTGGTCCACTTCCGGTTCGTAAAAGCTGGCTTGAAAATGAGTTCTTGAAAACTCCAGTTTATAGAGTACGGTTTGTAAAAACAGATGATTTCAAACGACGTTTGATGAATAAATTTAATCGATTTTGAGAAAGCTTTTGACCTGTACTTCTCGTGATCTCGATACATCATCTTTTTTTTCTCTAGATCTTTTAAAAGCTATATCCACCTGAGTTCTATCACTTCGATTCGAGCTTTTGATCATCGACAAGAAGAGAAATGGTAAAAGTAGATTATATAGTTTCGGATTTCTGCAAGACTATTATCATTAGTGGCTTGGCTTGCGTAAAATTTAAAATTTAAGACAACGAAGGGGGCAATATTAGCTCTTTTCTTATGCATCTAGTTCTATTGAGTAAGTAGATTTAAGCTTAATAGTCGAATTGACTAGTTTCTCGAAGGTGGGATTAATAAACTCTGGCTAGTATGGGGGGGTTTTTTTTTTTTTTTTTCAAAGTGTTTATTTATCCTGAGTTTTGGTGCGAAAAAGGGGGTCATGCATTACAACATCGTTAGTATTGTACGCAGCGATCAATGTCTTTATGCATCGCGAATAAATTTGTTCGCAATCGTTGTAATCCTTACTACTGACTAGTAAATGCTTATAGTCTAATCCTTATCACCAGCTTGATCTTCATTACCAGCTTGATCTTTGTGGGAATATAGGGCTAGGCATCCAAGGTCACGTGGTTACACTAGGTAGCCTGCCTTGGCACCAGCATATAGCTCTCCCTCAGCTAGAATAGCTGACCTCTTCAGACTTCGCGAATACAATTGGTACCCCCATATATTCGTACTTCTCATTCGGTACCTGTGATACCGACAATCTTCAGTACCAGCTCAATAATTACCATCAATTCAAGTTTCTCATCATCATCCCAATTCAAGTAGCTCTATTCGCAATACTAAACCTCCTTATCACTGAAAAAGGTTCTCGACGCTATCTATATTCACTTCGAAAAATAACAACTCAGCAGACCTTAGATCCAATTTCTTAAACTTGAAAATCGATACAGATCTTCTTTTGCATACCGCTTCAGCCTTCGCAAAAGAAAAAAAATCTTCAATCGATCAAGGTCTCACCCGCTATTATCTCATATCAATTCGCATTCTCATAACAATTTAAACATCCCTTCTAACTTTTCTTGTATAAATATAATTATAATTATCTCTCTCTCTCTCTCTCTCTATACATATCAAGGATTTCTAACGGCCGGCCCGGCTCTTTAATCTTCCATCTTCCATCTTACTTTACCTCTACGCACGCACGAGGAGAAATACTACTACACGCCTGCATAAGCAGCATTGCATAAAGCAACATTCATTTAATTCAAGCGGCTGAAAAAGACAAGAGAGGACAAACAGACTCCTCCATTTCATATCAATCAAATAAATTATAAGGAATCATCGATAAGTCCAGATATGCCCGCCTAGCGCGCAAGAGTACTTTTGAAAAAAAAAAAAAAANAAACGCTGTATATATATATCCTGATAACCCGACATTAACTTACACCTCCCCCAGAGGATAGAATTGACTATATTGAAAATCCAACCCAAGTGGATTTAGAAATCAAAGCAAGCAATTACTATCCAACATACGTAATAGTAAAACTTGACGTCGCAACTTCCAAGGCCCTTCTTCAGCCCCTCGGTAACACCACAGAGAACCTAGTCCTCTGCCAGCCACCGCACCTCCTCTTTCAATCTCTGTAATATTCCATCATAGCTATTGCCTACTAAAAAAAAGGGGGTTGCCAGTATCGATACATCCATATCGACCCAGCTTCGTCAAGGTCAGCAGCTAGCTCGGTTACGGAGAAGCATGTCTTCGCTCACACAAAGCGAGCGTACCTCGCTCAGCATAGCATAGCATACTCTTCTGAAAAGGCCCCCAAACTTCCTTCCTCTGGTAAAGACTGTGATAAAGCCTGATCCGCGTGACTCCTTCTACTCGCACACACACACATGAAAAGAACCCACCCCTTCGAACCTTGAAGAGCAGATGAAGATCAGATAACAATTTTCGACCGACAGTTTTGCAATTGCAAAAAAGAGCTACGTGCCGCTCGCTGCACGCTCGGAATGAACGGTCGCTGCTGGCGATCCGAACAGGTCAGTATTGATACAAGGTATATATATATATATATATATATATATATATATATATA